AAAGAGACCGAGAGCGGATACCGGCGCGCAGCCTGTCTGTGCCTCTGCTTCGGAAAGTGACTAATGACTAGCCGGCCAGACCTACTCTTCTGCCACCCAACGAGAGAGAAAGACAGACAGAGAGAGAGAGAGAGAGAGAGAGAACGTAGACAGCAGGCGGCAGCGTACGCCCAACGGCAAACGGGGCGAGCAGATACCGGATAGGTGAGCGCGCCTGTTATCTCCGCGGCCCTTGACGACGGTCAACCGTGAAAAATGACTATCGCGACGAAGAAATATTTTACGGGGGCGCCCCCGTCGTCGTCGTCTCGTTTGGGGCAGCGTCGTTACGCGTCACATAAGAGGGAGAGAAAGAAAGAGGGACTGGTGGTGAAAGATAGAGAGAGGGAGAAAGAGCAAGAGTGGTGTCCTCTTTTCGAGCGTGGCGGCGCGAATCGAATGGAAGACGCCTGATCGATCTTCTCCCGACCAGCACGCGGAACTGAATCCGGATCGGATGAACGAGGGAACCGGGCAACTTTATGCCCCTCCCTCTCTCTATCTCTCTTTCTGTCTTCCTTCCGTGGGAAGCAGGGCCATACTATCCTTCTCTCTCGCACTCTCTATCTTCTCTTTCTCTCTTTCTATGCCTGCGATGCTCGTTCTCCTCGTTACTTCCGCGCCTGGAATCCCACGCTTACGGCCGCCACGGACGTCAGAGGCGTAAATCCGAGAGAGCTTCCTGGGCTGCGAAGCGTCGCGGCGTCGTTAATGATAGCTCCGAGCCCCGTGCCGCGCTCTCTGCTTCTGGTGGAACCCTGGCCTGAGAAACGCTCTTTCCATCTCTCTCTCTCTCTCTCTCTTCCTCTCTGTTTTCTAGATCTCTCCCTCTTTCTTCGTGTATAGCGTTCGCTTCGTACCGGAGAACTTCCACGGAGATGGCGAAATACCAACGCCGCCGACGAGCGATTCGTTTGAACGGCTGTGAAAATGGGAACGCTTCTCGGTTGATTGTTCCCTGGGACTTTTGTGTAACTATAGCCAGGGGATGGGTGTAACGGTGGTCGTTTTGGAATTTTCATATCGAATTTTGTGAAAGAGCCACGGTAGAGGAATGTGTTCAAATGAAGGTGGTCCAGTGTAGTGGATACGATAATCGAAAGAATTGAGCCGTAGGTATAAGGTCATAGTGACTTACTCCAATTTGTGAATTTCAGTGCCGAAGCATTTGATTGGTGCGTAACTTTGGGTATTCGAATTAAAATTTGTTTCATCATTTTTGTGGACTTAGTCACTTTTTATTAGAGGATGTCGCTGATCGCTAGACGGTCCCTATGTTGCGTTGGACAAGTTCTTGAATAATAATAGTTAAACATGATACTTTTCATACATGTTTGGAACGTTCAATTGTCACAGATATGAAGTACTCTAATATTGGTACATACTGTACCTAATACATACATTAGTACATATTATACGTTATTAATATAAACGTTTAAGAAAAATAGCAATGAAACCCAATGCGAGTGGTCGGAGGCTCCTCGGTACTAACAAGGAGAGAGTCCCTGGTGTAACGCTGACTTTTCAATGACGTTCGGCACGGTGACACAGCTTGGAATTCTGAAGCCAATGATATTTGTTTCATCCATATATGGCCATCAGTGTATGAAACGTTTAATGTTCAATGCCGAGGAGCCTTCCAACACTCACCGAGGATTTACTGTATCAGTCGCCATTGCGAAAAATTTCGAAATTTTCGATCAAACAGATCTAGCAGTAGTATAATCTCAGCCGATCACATTTCGTGGTCCATCTAATATACCTAAACCCACTGTTCCCAGTTTCTAAATCGTTTCCCTAGGAACGATCTCTTTGCGCCCACGAATATCGTCTGCATTTCGATTTCGAGACGAAAAAAAAGAACGAAAAAAAAAAGTCTTTCCACGTCGTAGAGCACAGGACGTTTCGCGAAAGGGAAGCTGTAAATCGTCGGTTAATCGTAACCAATCAAAGATCCGTTTCTTCATTTCCGCGATGATCCGTGTAGCAGATCGAACCGTTCCGTGAAGGTATGGATTACCATACACACGCGGTGCCCCTCTCTCTTTCTTGGCCCGGTCAGACAACTTATTATCGGTTATTTATCACGGCCAGGCCCGTGACTGAAATTTTTCTGCCGTGAACCACCGTTCCGTTCGGGGATATCCGACGTGTTCCGTTTGTGAACTGGGGAGCGCCACACGAGAGTGGCGTGAGAAATGGAGGAGACGCCTTATACACACACACACACACATACACATAGAGAGAGATCGAAGGCCGCGGCGGTTACGTCGGAACCCAGTGGCCAGAGAAACCGCCGCGAGCTTGATAAAGCTGCGAGATCTGGGTCGAAAACGAGCGAGCTGGTTCGCCCCGGGACGAGGGGACGACTGGGAACGAGCCCGAGAAAAAAACTGATCCGCTGGAATTTCTTTCGTATCGAGGCTTAGAATGACAAAAAAGAAGGGATCGTTTGGTGTACAGACACATTTTCCAACTTTGGATCAACGAAACCTGGTGTACTAATTTTGTTTTAAGGTATCCACGTGATTGAGGAAATACTGAATCATACAGGGTGTTCGCGATAATTTGTACCATCGTTTCTTTTCGTAAACGGTAAACGTTAGAAAAAAACCGGACAGGAGGTAGTTGTAGTATATTTTCCTAGTAATATGATAGCGTGTTTAAAGTTCTTGTATTTTTAATATTTTGCTAGGAACAGAGGTGATCTTAATTTTTTTTAATGGAATGCTACATATTTTGGTACATCATATGAAAACTGGCATTAAGGCGAGTTCAACCATGTAGTATACTATGATCTTCAGGGTAATTGTACTAAAGTACTAAAACTACATTTCGTGTTCAATGTGACTTTCATTAGCACCGAATGCATTTCTGAGAATTTATAGTTAAATACTATTAAAATATTTTTACTAAAATAATTAGCTAAATTCAAGAAAATCCGCTAAACTGCACCATTACCTAATATTCTCTTGAATATATGCAGCTTAATTTTGAATTGATAAATTGATAAGATTTTCATATATTATAAATATCCATACATTTTTAACAATATTTGTCACGTATCGATATTTAACGAAAAAATATATGTCGATATTGGAACCAAGATCGCAGAACTCTAGTGGCAAGTCGATCGAAGTGCTCCCGTTGCTCTCTCGCAGCTTTCCTTTTTTCCTTTTCAACCGCTGGCCATCGGCCGTCGACGGCAACAGCTACCTACGTATCCGTGTAATTAGACGTAATTAAGCGGCCACCTTATCCGAGCGGGGGGACGTCTTTTACCGTTTCCTCCTTCTCCCGTCGTTCGTCGCCTCCTCCTCCATCGGCCAGGGTTCCACGAGATTCATTTTACTAGCAGTCGTGCCTGAGATTTCTCGCGGCTTTTCTACTCGCTCTCCGCCAGATAAATTTCCGACCCGTAACCCCGCCGCCGTTTTCAGTGGACCGACCGCCAACCCGCGTGAATCCGGTGAGAAATCGTCCCTGCGGTCTCCCGACAGACCCCACGCTGGATGGGGGCGAAGAGACCCCTCGAGTACCCGTTTTCGGATACGTGTACACCGATATTTCTTTCGTTTATGAGTTCGCTCGTGGATTTAATTGATCGACCAATGATATATACTATTTACGGGGAACGTTAACGGCAGGGGTTCAGAATCAAAATTTAAGCAGCTCGTTAAGCTTACGAAAAATGTTGAAACTTGTAAATTTTATTTCCATCGTGTTCTCAAAATCTTCATGAAAGTCAACGGTTTTAGGGAATTATTGTTTTTGCATTTTTTTTTACCGAGACTGCATGGAACAAATGTTCCACGGTTAATGATAAGTTGACGTCAGTTCTTTTGGAAGTAAGGAGAAATTTGGTTTTCGACCGTTCGAATTGTTAAATTGTGATTTTGGATCGGTGATGGTCGTATAACGCAAATTCAAAGTGGAATAATCGAGTCTGCAGTCAGCCGAAATAGGCTCCGAGGCGAGTCGTGTATGGTCGGTCGGTGAAATTTTTGTCGGGAGGTTTCTGGATTTAAAAAAGGATCGCGAATTCGGATGAAACTCACAGGACAGAGATGCGAGCACTGTCCATGTTTAGACGTGGTCGGGGAGTATATTCGGCGCGTCGTCGGACAAATGTGCGAACTCAATATGAAGTATTTTTAGCGCGCTGCTCCGTTCGGATACGTGTTCGGTTAGCGAGCAACGGGGGTTCGTGATTTCGATTTATTCGATCTCAAAGAATATTCGATTCTGTACGTAAATGATTTTGTTCGATCTGAAGACGTTCACCCTGTTGTATTTTTTTTTTAAACAAACAACAGTGGACTTATCGCGGGACAGAAAGATTGAAATAATAGATTCGATTCGAAATCAGTTCTGAAACGTAAAGTTTCTTTGATTCGGGGTAATTTGATCAATGAACCTTCAGAACCGAAATCCTCGACGTTTGTTTGCCTCGATTATAAAACACGTTAACAGTTCATAGTCTCGACCCAAGTCTAAAACATCGATTACATCTGAATCCCACTTATTCTTTCAAGAAAAAGACAATTACAGTAAATCATCGATGAGTGTTCGAAGGGTCTTCGGTACTCAGTATTCAGGCGTCATCCCCACCACTGGGAGGTTCCCAGTAGCGATGACGTTTGTACACACAGTGCCGAGAAGCCTTCGATGATTCACTGTATATCCTGTTACGTACATGATATTTCCCAAATTCAAAATATGTATATAATTCATGAAACCCACAGGGCACTTCCCGTTCGAACATACCAAATACAAAGAAAACCACCAGTGCCAATTCCCAGGGAATCGAACATTCGCAATTCAACGGAACACCGGTCGTTCATCCCCGCAAAACTGCGGCCTCCTCGGATTGGATTCGAGGCAAACGGCAACGACCGTGCGCGCGAAAATCCCTATAATCCCCACTCCAAAAACAAATACAGGTATACACATAGACTCACCTTGTTGTGCGGCGGTTGTGTGGGCACGTACAGCGGAGGATCCAATCCAGGGCTCGTCACTGCATGACGACCGATAATCCTGTCCGCGGGTTTCGCGTCGTATCCTTCCGGCTGACCGATGTGGAAGCCCTTGCTCTTCACCCAGAAACGAAATTTACTGTTCTCCGCACTGTTCACTTCCTCGCCCCTCAATGTTCTCAATATACGCGCATACTTTTTGATCGTGATCGTTTTAGTTTTCGCCAGATCCCCGTAAGTTTTAATCACCCACGGTTGGTAAGCGTTGAACATACCGTCGTTCTGGAATTTTTTTGGCAGCACGACATTATCCGTCGGGCCCTTTTGCATCCCGTAATCGGCGGTCCCATTAACACCCGCCGAACCGATACCCGGGAACGGGATTGGTACGCCGGTCTTCGGATCGATCGTTGCCCCAGTCGTGTTCCCTTTCCCTCCAGGCACGTAACCCGTATTCAAACCTGAACCAGCCGAGCTCAACGATCCACCGGTCATGTTCGAGATGTCCAGGTACGAAACTGACGAACTTTTCCCGAGATTGGTCGCGTTACCCACGAAAGTCGCCATGGATGTGGACATGTAGGGTATAGGGGTAGGCATACCTAATCCACCAGGACACAAACCAGTTGTTGGACTAGGTGCCATGCTCAAGCCAGGTACAGAAGCGTATGTAGACATGTCGGACATGTTCGATTGGGTCGCCCATGTTGTGGACATCACACCGTTGCTAGATGTACCATCCACCGTCGATGTAGCCGATGATTTTGCCTGTCCATTTGCCCTGGACACCGATCCACCGCGACCTTTCGACGACGGACTCGTCGCTTCGGGTGACGAACCGCTAGAACCCTTCGTCCCGCTAGTGGACGTTCCACGGGACTTCTTAGTCGGTGGCTCGTCCCGCGAGCCGTTCATCGAGTTCAGATTACCATGGGACGGGCTGTTATTGTTCTCGGACCTCGAACGTTTCCCAGACCCAGTAGACGCTGACACGGACTGATGGCTCGAAGGGGTCGGCGAATTGTTCACCGGCACTCTACGACGTAGTCCCATTGTCGCGCTGGCCATTATCACTCGCGGCTATATTTAAGACCCAAACACCACCGCCAGATGGTTTTTCCTTGATTTCCTTTTTTTCTTTTCACGCGCACTGTTCACCGATAGGCGGCAACGATCGCATCGTCGTCGTTCACTGGGATCCGTCCACCATCAGCGTTATCCTCTATGGACGCACGCGCGCACATACACAAACACACGTTTAGAGGGGACAGATCTCACTAGTAGACACTTTTCGAACCACAGAGACACTGTTTACGGATGAATTCCGTTTTATCTGCACGGTTTGACCCAGGTATCGTTGGGCCTTCACCTCGTTGTCCTCTATGAATTATGGAATTAACAGCGTCTGGAGCAGTCTGCAACAACAAAAAATATTCGGTTGGGGGGGGGGGGAGAATGCGACAAGTGGGATTAGCTATGCGCGATTGAGCGGCGGAAACGTTTAAACGAGGGCGCCAACGCTAATGGACCAGCGGCCAAGTAGGTGGAAACTTTGGTGGTGTAGGAAAGGGGAGAGGGGCGTCTTTGGATAATACGTGGGGAAAATTCACCTACGAAATTGATTTCTCTCCTGCTAGGGCTGTCGCGCGGACCGACACGACGGCTTTCTCCGCAGCGCGAAAATTCTTTCCGCGTGAAATAACGCTGGAGAGCTCGGGACACAACGTGTAACGACGATCTCCGAAAGAAATTCCCTCAAGAGAGACTGGTGCTGCGGATGGGAGTGGGAATGTTCCTGAAGATAGCTGGAATTTTTTACCCGATCTGGAGAGACGTGATCGTGACGTTTGAACACTAAAACTACCAACGATAAACGTATGTATGTATAGCCACCTTTATTCGGATCGAAAAAAAAACACTAACTTTTCAGAATATACAAATTTATAAATTAACTCACTCCTTCACTTACACTGCGATACTATAGGATCAGAGTTCATGATTGATGGAACACTAACTCATTATTCTGTTTCAGCACATTACTTTTATTAAATCTGTGTAGAATCGTACTTTTCTTTTTTTTTTTAATTATCAGACCTGGCTCCGTAGTTGCACGGTAGTGCACGTGTTACAGTAAAAGTTCTGGAAGATCTGAGAAAATGCATTGTCGTGACGGTTTAATCATCGTTGTAAGAGTGTATCAACCAGTTATTTTCACTGCTTCAGTGATCCTAGTGTTAACTGAAAAATACAATAGAAGTTTCTGGACCTGTTAAGTAGATGGACGCGTCGAAGTTATAACCTAGGGTCACTTCTAACCCGTCCTAAAATCTCACATAGATAAACATTTTATCAAATTAGTTCTAGCCTGCGTTTTAGCGTACGGTTTAAAATCTGGGTCTCGGAGGACCCACGTTCATCGTCCGAGGGTTAAGTAAAATTTATTATCCTCGAAGTAAAATTATATAGTAACGAAATAATATAAAAGCTAAGCAGTCTGGTTTTCCGTTCGATCGATGCAAATTAAAAATTAAATTCGAATGAATCACGATTTGAAGAATTTCAACATTTTTTAAGACGTCGCTGCTTTGCGATTGAACATATTCTGTTACTGAAAACGCGTCGGATGATCGCGTGGCGCGAAAAGGGAGGGATGGAGGGTTGTAATCGCGGGCCGGTCGTTTACCCTCGACCACAGCTACAAATTTCCCCGTGTCGGTTGACTATTGGAGACCGTACATGCGCGCGCTGCTAATGGATTTTGCGTAAGACAGGTGTTAGAACGGCGGCAGCGACATAGATGGCGTCTAATTAGACACGAGCGCGATCTCGGACGGCGGCGAATTAGGAAACTGGTTGTTTAACCAGCCACGGACTTTCTTCGGGTGTGCTCCACCGCCATTTTGAAGTATCGCCACTGGAAAATAGCAGTTCGGAACCATTTGAAGTTTTACACTCTCCCTCTGGTCGTTCAACACCGTCATTTTCGAAAAAAGAAACACGTCCTTTCACGATGCAGAAAAACTTTCGACGATACGACGAAATCCTTAGAAATTATGCAAAAATTTTAGAGTTCCCAAGACATGAATCTAAGTCACGAGGAAATCTTTCTTTCGTATCATTTATCAATCGTATAATCGAAAGATTCTCGAAGTTTGAATTCGAGGTTTAAGATTCTGGATTCTAGAAATTCAGCGTTATTACGGGCAGGCTCTTTAACTTTGTGTTCCGTGATGGCGTTAAACGAATTTTTTGTAACGATGGTGTAGTGTACAGGGAAAGAAAGAAAAAAGCATCGAATGTGCTGGAACACGAAAAATGGAGAACTGAACTTTCGACGTCCCCCTCGGAGAGGATCTCCCCGTCGGTGGACTCCCTACGCCGTTACGCCCCATGATTCCCGGCCCTATCTGAGATCAAACTAACCCCCGGCTGTTATGATCGAGACACGAGGGAGAAGACCCCCCCTTCTGATCGAGGAATGGGATGGTTGAACACGTCGGACGCGTTCGTCGGATCAGAGTCGAATTTTGCGACGCACGTGCTTAATAACTTTTCGGGGGTTGGAGAGTTTAGTACGCCGTAGAGACCATGCCAGTGAAATATTCGAATCGTCGAATATATCGGGAAATATTTGAATCGTCAAAGGTATCACAAAATATTCGAATCGACGGTAGTTCTCATCGATTGGTCAATTGCTTTTCAAAAGAAAACACCGTTTGTTATAAGTTACGAAACGTGGAAAATTCGAAATAACAAAATCAATCTACTTATTCTGAATATCACCGGATTTTTCACGTTGAACATTCCATTAATCGATCCGTTTCGAGATTATAGTCTGGCACCTTTCGGAAAAGTCGACTCTCCATTTTCATCGTCATCGCGCTCGATACGACAACCGCAACGAACGAGAGATACGGGGAGATAACCTGCGTCAGATAATCGCGAAGTATACCCAAGAGCGAATGCTAATTCAATAAGGCCAATCGAACTATCCGCGGGCAGCCGATAGCCCGGATCGTGTAATGAACTCGCCCGCGACGTATCCACACAGCTCCTTCAGATAAGAGAAACGGAGCTATGGGGACGTATATCGGGACACACACGCGTCCCCTTTCACTGTTACGTGATCCCACTGTCCGTCTTAGTACGCTAAAAAAATTCATGTAAAAAAATAAATCAAAATTTTATTTTTTGATAAACTTGTTTTTCTTGTAACGATGGAACACGACGAACAATTGCCGATCGAATTCGAGAAATAAGGACAAATATCACTGAAACAGTATATGTATAGACTAATGATTTCCTTGGAAAATTATCCATTTATAGTATTAATAAGGGAAGTGTTAGTGTATCTGTTGTGGTTGTATAAAAAGTATGGAGGAATGTGAGCACAAGGAATTGTAAGTCAGACCCATTTCTCTGCCGAAGAAGCCGAACTGAAGGAACTTACTTATGAGTATACCTAATGAATTCGAATAGAAGATTGAGTCAATGTGTAGAAAATACTTATCAACCCCATATGTGGCGATCTTTAAACTTGTCTACGGTTCAAACGAATGCCTTCGATAAATCGGGTCCGAATAGAAAATATCTCAACGATTCTGAAGTTTAATATTAAATCGAAAAGATTTTTACCTTTTTTTTTCATATGAAATTTCGTCATCGAATAATCGTCTCGGGCTATATCCCATTCGAGCATGGGAAAGGTCGTCGAGAAACGAGCACGGGAGACGGGATACAGAGGTCGTAACCGGGGGACGATTTTCGAAGATCGTTTCGCCACGGAGTCCCGTGCCAGTTACGAAGGATTAGAATATCAAGGGAACGATAACGAAGCAAGTCCAAGAAGGGAACCGCTGGAATGGGGCCGATAGCCTCGACGGTAATATAACCGCACGCTCCTTTAGGTGGCAGAAACGAGGTCTTTAGCGCGACGGCTTAAGACGCCCGCGCCCCGCGGTTTACTGTAAATCATCCTCCGCGTCATTAACAAAGATTGCGCACGCGCGACAAAGAATAAAAATTGCAATCGACATTTTCTTTCCATTCGTACGATTTTTAGTTACCTATGAACATTTACACCATGGAAGGCAGTGTATTCAACAGTGACATACATAGGTAGAAAACTGTTTAATGCACACAGATCAAAAACGTAAATACAGTCTTAAAAAAAAATTGAGGCTCTGGAAAATACATGTTGAGTTATTGTTCTCCTTGGGTCTGTATGACTCGAAATGAAGATCATATTTCGATAGGTATTATAGGTTTTCAAATATTTAGTTTTAGTATCTAAAACACTGGAATTGTACGTCTTCCTTTAATGCATTCCCCATTTCTTCAGGATAAATCATTTCGAAGTTCGAAATAATTCTCTTCGAAGGGATACAAACGTAATAATAAGCAAGGAGAACAGTAAGGTAAAAGGCCAAGAATAGATGTGAACGAAATAACTCCGTTGTATCGAGAAATCTAGAAAATTACCCCAGAAGGGGAGCATTGTTTACACACGTTAATAGGAACGGGGAAGGGTCTATTCTTTGCATCCAAAATTCCTTTCTAATCATCGACGCGAAGTTGGAGGGAACAATAGCGGGACTGGCCACGGAAAGAGAGGCCTTGGTACACGATACTCCAGAGATAATCAGATACTTCTAATCAACGGTCTGCCTCGTGAAAAACTAGATCTCTGAAATTACCCCGCGCATGCCGCGGAATTTAGATGTCGCGTAAGAACGCACGGAGGAATGCCATTGGCGCGGCTGGCTGCGGTCGCTGGTAAAATTGGAGTCCGTCGAATGAACAGAGAGCACGCGGCCCGAATAGGTATACCTGGCCCCTGAAGTCGTTAATGACACGGTCTCGAGGTAAATTGAAGGTGATACCTTGCATCAGTTTCCCACCGAACAGCGAACCGTGTGGAGTACCAGGTTTTCTTGCGTTTACAGTTCGACTGGATGTAACTTCGAAAGTGGTCAGAACGATTTCTTTCCGTGCTGGACGTAAATTCTCGTTAGTTCACTTGTGCAGTATCTGTCCCGACACCGACGAAAAGAAAACGTTTGTTCCGCTTATGCTTTAACTTTATTCCGATACATCGACTTAGGCAAAATCTCTCAGTAACAGGTATGGAACTAGTAACTCTCTTA